TATATATATACATATACATATACATACACACAAACACACACACACACACACACACACACGCGCGCGTACACACACACAAACAAAAAGGTTCATAGTTCATAATGATTCTACTTGGAACTGGGCGAATATCCAAATAAGCTCAACATACGTATTCACGCACATATGCACATATCCATAAATACGTACAAGCCGCTATATCCATTGATAAACGTTAAGGTATTCGCACAAGACACAAGGGTGTTTCCACACATACATAACGCGACAGCAGTTTTGTGGTTCACTAGTAAACTCAAGTATGCGCTTATCTCCCTATTTACCGTTCGTTGGTTAAGTTGTTACCACCCTTCTCATTGTTGTAGTGCGGATCTTGGGCCACACCGCCACTACCATCTCGGGCTGGGGCGCCGCCATACCTATGCCTGCACAGTAGTACTACAAATTTTAGTTCGATACCATCTATACACACACACACACACACACACACATATATATATATAAAGAGATAGAAGTAAACGAAGGTATAGTAAAGATAGTAATACAAATTTTAGTTCAATACCATCTGCATATATAAATATAGAAGTCAACACAGGTATACTACAATAGCAGCTAAATACTATCACCTATACCTGCACAGTATTGCCACAAATGGTAGTCCAACACCATTTACATATATAAAGATAGAAGTCAACACAGGCACAGTACAGATGCTAACCAAACACTATCTATATTTGTGGTTTAGGTAGTTCAATAGCATAGATTTCATTGGTTTTAGCTGAATACCATCTGCGTGTTTGACGGGCTAGGTAATACAGTTATAATACAAACACTAGCCTCAGATACCACCTACATACAGGAGAACTGGGTTAACACTGTTGTAAAACAGGTACGGCTTTAAGATCATCCAGCTATACGGGAAACTAGCTCAACAGAGGGGCATAATCAATACAAACTACATACCACATACCTACAAGGGAAACCATGGCAACGATTGAATGGGAAGGGAAAGATGAATACCATCTACACATATGAGAAAGTAGATCAACGCTTCGTTGATACCACTGCTAGCTTAATACCATCAACACGTATGGGAGACCAACAATGTAATAGCTAGGTCATCATGTATGGGGAACTAGGTCAACACAGTCATAGACCATTTATTAACCGAACACCGTCGATAAATATCCGGCGACACTAGTTGTATTACTAACAATAGCTAAATAGCATCTACCCATATCAGAAACCATGTCAGCAAAGTTGTATAACAAAGTACCAGCTCAAAAACTACAAGCATTGCAAATTAGGTCAACTCACTTATATTGCCATTCGTCTACATGTGCGGGAAAAAGCGGTCAGTAGCAACGAACGTACAGCTTTGTACATATATACCTTTGTGTGTACATAGATAACTTTGTGTATACATACGTACTTTATATATATATATATGTACATATATACTTTTCTGTGTACATACGTACTTTATATATATATATGTACATACATACCTTTGTGTGTACATACGTACTTTGTGTATATATATACACCGTTGTTTGTACATACGTGCTTTGTGTGCATGTGCATACATACCTTGTATGGTCATTCATGTGGTCGCAAAGACGTCAGTGCGATCAATCATAAGCTGACTTGTGGTCATTTGACTTTTAAAAAGTATATATACTATGTGTGCATATCATAAGATTACAACGCGAACAATATTTAACTATGAGTCATACATAGATATATAGATAATACGCATCACGATGGATACATTACATAAACACTAAAAGAAAGTGTATTTTTTCTTCGATTATTCAACTACTAAAGACTGCCGATTCAACCGAAAGCGTATTGTAGATCACAGTTCAATAGGCAGTTGAAGTATCTACCTCACATCGCAGCAAACTCTTAGTTCCTTCTAAGTAGCTTAACATACATTCACACACACACACACACACACACACACACACATATATATATATGAATATATACTTGTTCTCATACACACCTATACGTAGACACCTACAAAGTTAGAGCCGTATCAGCAAACGATGCAGACTTCAGATGCGCAGATATTTTTGCGCGACAATGCGTGCTTATCGCAGAATCTACAGACCTATAGCCGAACGGTAAGTCAAGCTGATGTGTATTTGTATATGCGTGTATATTACTATATGTATGCATATATATATACATATATATATGTGCGTGTATGTGTACATGTATGTATGCCTGTGTGTATGATTGTCCTTGCAAGTATGAGAATGCTTGTATGTGTATACGTGTCTATTTTTATGTGCTTGTTGATTTTCATAGATTATGTAGAACAATGTCGCGAGAATCACAGATCTGTATACGAACGGTTTGTCACGTACCTGTGTATATGTGTATATGCTTGTATCTTTGTATAGGTGTGCACGCAAGCATGCATGTATGTTTA